GGAGGCTGACCTTGACTTTGGAGGTAAGTAGTGGGCTGGAGTGGAGGCCCATGCCACTTCCAAGGGAAGTTCTCAAACGTCAGGCAGATGCACAACCACAACATCAGCAACAACAGTGACATTAACAGAGTCCTGTTCCACACTGACCAGGCTTTGCTTCTCCATGCACCTCCATGGGTATTAATCCTCTGTAGTCCTAACCAAAGACATGTTAACACACACTAACAATGAAGGTCCATTTCCCTCCTTCCTTCCCTCCTTCGCCCCTTCCTTCCTTCCTTCCTTCCTTCCTTCCTTCCTTCTTTCCTTCCTTCCTTCCTTCCTTCTTTCCTTCCTTCCTTCCTTCCTTCTTTCCTTCCTTCCTTCCTCACTCTCTCTTTAAGCCTATGAAGCAAGGGGGTAGGGGGGCCTAGTGTCCTACCTATTTTATTGGTAAACTGCTACACAGAAAGGTCAAGTGAGTGAGCTTGGGTCACATAGACTGTAGTCCTGGTCAGATGCCTTGCCTTGTCCTCCTCTTTGGGAGCCTTTGGGTCCTGACTCTTGCACCACCACTGCCTCAAGGTCCTCAGTTAAGGTATGAACAGTTAATCACCAGCACCAACTCCCTTCTAAACCAGATTGGCATGAAGTCAGGTTGCCTCCAGGAGAGACGACCCCTGGGGAATCTCTGTTCCTGAGACCAGAAATTGAGCCCAGAGGCCTGGCACCGAGCTAACAGTAAAAGTGGACAGTAGAATGGCATGGTGACTTACAAAGTCACACAATCTTGAGTTCTGTTCCAGCCTTACTACTAATCAGCTAAATTACCTTGGTCCTCTCTGAACTTCAGTATCTTCATCTGTAAAATAGAGACAATGATATATTTCCCACTGGCTGGTGGCAAGGATTAAATCAAATGATCTCTGGAGGGCTGTCAGTCCAGTGTCCTCCTGCCCTGCCTACCTATGGGTGAGTGCAGACTGTGCCAGCACATGGGTGCGTGGGCTGGTGGGGAGCATCAAGCAGAAGTGGCAGTCATGCCAGGAAGGGGAGCTGGTTCCCTGGGAGTGACACCTGAGAAGATTCACAAATGGGAAGAACTGAGAGATTCTGCCTCCAGTCCCTCTGTGTGGGTGTGGGTGTGTATGCACACACAGTTATAAACTCTTCTTTTAGATGACCGTAGTCACCAATCACTCATGGTGACAGCCACCACAGCCCTTCCCTCTGCTGAGGGCAAGGCCTGGCTCTCAAGCAGGAAACCAAACCAAAGGGAAGGGAGTGGTCTTTGGGGATTTTCACCCTGCCCAGGGAAAGGATCAAGGGACACTCTGGCTGCTATTGTGTGGCCAAAAATCAGAAATGGAGCCCACCACAGAACTGGAAAGGGGGCTCAGTTAAGTTAGCTGGCTGTCCATTCTTTGTATTAATTTTGTCCTTATTACCCTGTAAAGTAGCTTTGCTCTCCTATTCAACCAACTAGGAAACGAACAGTAGGAGGCTCAGAAAGTGTCAATAACTTGCTCAAGTTCATACAGCTAGCAAGTGTCAGTGCTGGGAATAGGGCCTGAGTTCTTTTCCTACACAGCACTGCCAAACCAAGTACTGACAGATACTTTTCAGGGCAGAAGCCCTGAAATGTGCCTGAACAACTGTTATGATGGTTCTTTTTTCTTCTTCTTCTTTAGTTAATTTCTTTTTTTGTTGTTGTTCACACTTAAGTTTAAAGGACAGAGAGAGGACAACATACCCCTGAGGCCAAGTCACAAAATAGAAGCAGAGGTCAGAGGAAGATCTCAAAGAGGGAAATGAAATTCAAGGGCTACTCATTCTACCTGCACAGTGTGGTGTGGGAGCTAAGGGCACATGTCCTGGAATCACAAAGAACTAATTCCAGTCCTAGAGTCACCACTTATTAACCTCAGGCAGGTGATTTCACCTCTCACTGCCTCCATTTCCTTTCCTATAAAATGGTACTAATGTATACACTAACTTCTAGGGCTGTGAGGATTAAATGTTGCCCTGGGTTAGAAGTGCTTAGCACAGGGTCTGACACATGATAAGCCCATGTCACCAATTATGACAACTGATTCTCCTTCAAGGGCTTTTCTCTGTCCACAGCTTCTGTTTTCAAGAAGGAAGGCAAAGGAAATGTATACATATGATCAAATGGATAAAGCATCTGACTTTGGCCACACAGGATTATCTGACTTTAAATGACAGGAAAACTCAGTGTGCCAAGTCGGAGAAACAGAGCCCCTTGGTGCTGGTCAGGGGAGGGTTTCAGAAAGAGTATATAGGGAGGTCAATTTGGTAGAGGGGTGGGAATGGTGAGATCTCAGGGAGAGTAAAGGGTGGGGCAATCTGGGAAGCAGAGGGAATAGAGCAACAAGGACCTGGTGATTGGGAGCCTGGAGAAACACCCCAGAGCTAAGCTGGAGGCTGAGAGCTATGAGGAGAGTTTCACAAGGAAGCAGAGCAGAGAAATCATCATCTATTCAGTGTCTGCTGGATGCTAAACTCATTCAACAATTAAAACCTCACCACACCCTTAGGGGCATCCTGATTTTTCAGAGGAGGACACTGGTGCCCAGAGAAGTGAAATAACTTACCTAGTAACTGTTAGGGATTTACGCTTCCATCTGGCTGCCTCCAAAACACCCAAGCCGTTCACTGACTGGGACACTGACAGGCCAGGTTCAAGGGACTCCAAACCATACCAGCCCTTCTCTATAGTCATCTGTCATCCTTCAGGCTCCTGGAGGCCACTGCCCTCCCAGACCACCCCCTGCAGCTCTAGGCAGGCTCCCAGTCTTCAACCACACCTCACAGACTACCACTACGAAATGCCAGAATCCGGAGTCGGGCCTCATGGGCTTTTGGGGCTCTCGCCATGAGGCACACACATAGAGAGGAGGGTTTCCTGGCGGGAGGGTGGGGGAGGGCCCAGTGGGGACTTCCCAGTGCTAGAGCCCCTCTGAATCCAGAGCTCCATATCTACCGCAGTCTGATCTCAAGGAACCACCACTGTTTGGCACACCTGTCTAGGTGACCCTGACAGGGCCTGGAGAACAGAACTAGCAGGGGCTTGAGGCTGTCTTATGCCTCCCCAAAGCACCCTGGACCTTCTCAGATGCCCTATCTAGGCAGAAGGCAGGCTGGGCTGCCCACACACATTTCCCAAAAGCAAAGGGCATCCTCCTCTGCCCACCTAGGGTGCTGTAAGCTGCACTCCCAAGTTCAGAGCCCCGTGGGCCAGCTGGCTTTGCAAGTTCTGCCAGAGGGCCCGTTTTGTGAGTAGCTGACTCTTCCCAAGGGCAGCAGCGTGTCCCCCAGCCTTCCCTGCCGGGGCCCTGGGGGAGGGAGTCGGGGAGTGGAGAGGGCCAGCCCTGCAGTGCCGCCTGTTCCTGCGGCTCCTGTCGGTGGGGGCGAACACAGCAGAAGAGTTTCTGCCACACTGCGGACCGCACCTGCTGCATTTCCCTGCGAAGCCAAATCTTTGCTGGGTAACAGGGAGGTGGGAAGCCGATCTGGAGAAGGGGTCGCCACGGCGGGAGAAAGGGCAAAAAGGGGTCTGCAGATCCTGTCTGGCGGCACCACAGTAATAGCAATACGTCTCCCGCGGGGCTGGATCCCGCCGTGGGCCTGGGATAGCTGCTATTGATTATCTCCTCCTTGCCTACTTCATTACGTTGGCAGGAGCCTCTCACCAGCGCCCCTCAACTTCTGCCCTCCCCAGTCTCCCCGGCCTAGCAGCACCCAGCTGAGCTCTCCTGGAGGTTCTGGTTAGTAAGCCGGGCTCTGCCAAAGAATGTTTTCCTCGCGGGGCGGGGGCTGAGGCCCGGGGGCCAACGAGGTGACGAGCTCGGTGGCGGCGGCTGGCAGCTTGC